AATTCAAGGCTGTGAACTCGTTCTTTGTGAGTAAAAAAAAAAAAAAAAACAATGGAACCGATTTATTTAATTAGAGCTTGAACCCCAGGTGAATAATCGAAGATCAAAATTTATAAATATTGCGGAAACTGAACGAAGTATAGAATCATCTCATCTCTTTCGTTTCGTCATAATTTCGACAGAAATCTTAACGAGAGTATCTCGAAGAAGTACAATCGCTAAATACATAATTTTCTGGTCCCGAGAAAGGCCGTTTCCATGATTGTCTCGTTTCTTCTCACGTACGTCAGTGTTAGAACGTTTCGTCACATTGAGATTACGAGAGGATCCGTAATCCTCTTGTCCTCTTATCTCGGTAATTCGGAGACTGCGGTCGAAAAGAGGCGATGCACAAGTCGATTCGCGATTAATTAACATCTTTTGACGAAGAGAAGACTTTCCGTTTCACGGGGAATCATAAAAATGATGCAACGATACCTCCTGGCGATCCTTCAATTTTTTGACCTGGCTCTCTCTTTCTTAAGCTTTCACGTATTTATCTAGATACGTACAATATAACATTGTACCAAGTAAGTTTATTTATGTAGTAAAAAGTTGGAAGGTTTGTTTTTTTTTCCCTTCTCCTGTTTTTCTCCTTCGTTTGTTGCTTGATTGAGGATCCAACGCGAGGGAGAAAGTAAGCATGTTTGTTCGGTTGCAAATTATTTGCGTAGGAGTAGTGTGAACCGTCAATCTTTAACCGTGCACGAAATGTCTTTGCATTCGCGTGACGATTGTTTGCCATTGGAAAGAAGAGATGTATATTTAACTTTGGTCTATTATTTTCGTAATACTTGTAATACAGAAGAACTTCATTTGTACAGGGTGTTAATTTATTTCAATGGGATACTTTTAAAGGGACGATTTTAGAAATCGAAATAAACATGAAAATTGGAATATAAATATGGTTGAAGTTTTTATTGGTATTTATTGGATAGTAAAAATAATAATATTATAAAAATTATTCAATAATTAGCCTTCAACCGATATTTTTGTACATCAACTTTTATGTTTCCATAAATATATTAATCAAATAGCAATACTTCTAAATTCTTATTAGCAGCTCATGTTATAATTATAATTTTCTATTTATAAAATAAATGAAGAAGCTGTGTTCTTATAGTTAATCCATATGAATTTCTATAAAAAGAATATAGAAATATTTATATTCTATGATTATTAATGACTTTAGAAGTATCCCATATTTTTATAACACTTATTTATATTTATGTATTTATAAGAAACATTTTCTGATATTGAGAAAATGTTGTTTCTATTACAAGGATATGAGTTTTGGGTATTTCTAATTGACAATGTATTTAATATGTATATAAATATTAAAAAACAAGCAACTGTGTAACCAAATCATTTGTCAAGTCATATGATGTAATCAAATTGTTTATGCGTGTAATTGAAGTTCACCGATTTCTCTTACTATTTGTGAGTTAGATAAGTGGATTTATTTTTTTAAGTTATATAATATTAATTTATTGCATTTTTATTTTTATTTTGATAGAATAATAATTTATAATTGAAAACTACAAAAGAATTTAATAAGTTCATTTTTCTGTTTTTTAGATTATTTAATAGATAAGAAGGATGTTTTAATAACGTTAAAGAAATGGAAATTTTAAGATTTGCAGAGAAATAGCTTGACAAATTTCATTTTAACAAAGTGTCTCAATGTCGGAGTTCTATCTCTTTGAAATTTTTAGTATTACATTCTCTGTAAAATAGAGGTGATATTTTTATTTTAAAAAACTGATATTTTTATACAATCATCAAATTTCTTATTCTATAAGTATAAAACAATAATATAATATCCATGATATAATTAACTTATAATTTAATAATTTTTTATTATTAGGTAATCAATTTTGTGGAATAGCCCAGGATACTTAAAGAAACACATTCTTGAAAAACTACTAGAAAAATTGAATGTTCTAACATCAATAAAAAAAAATAAATCATATTGTATACAGATCATATACAATACAACAATTTAATTTCTTCAGAAATATATTTTATTATAAAACATCAAAGGCACAATACTTTCAAAGCAATGATTGTCAAATAAAGAAAATAAAATATTATCAGTGCTTCTAGTTTTACTATTAAAGGATTCTATCTTTTTTAACAGATTTTAATTTTTTTAATAATTTTAATTAAGAAAAAAAACTAAACGTACGCATATTCCTAAACAGATTAAGAATATGAAATTTCAAAAAAAAGAAAAGAAGAAAAATCGATACAATTCGTGACTTGAAAGGGTAAAAAGTATGATGTTAAGGACACCGAGAAGAAGGAAGTTGCAACAAAGGGAAACTCGCTTTCAATGAAGATAAAATTACGAATACTTGGCTAGATCCTTGGATGCTTTCCACCATCGGTATCGCGATTTACCGATGGCTGGTCGACGGTGAAACCGAATCGTGATGTGCTCATAGCGCTGATAGCGTTCTGACCTAGCGATTCTTCTCGTAGAAATATCCACATGGCAACGTTCCTCGTCCCTCTGTCGGGCAAAGAGTTCGAGAAGTCAACAGGCGAATCGTGCTTCATCGAGGTGAAAGGTGAAAGTCGATTAATGCTTTTGCACACCAAGATTGCTATTTCTTTTCCCTCTCTTTCGATTAATGAAAACAATTTTTAAGATTTTTCTATCCCCAATTTGGATTTATTATCTATTTATTTGTCTACGGATGTAAGATATCTTTTGGTATCAATGTAACATAAACGATCATAAATGAACATTTTTTCGTTTTTTTATTTTTTAGGAAATAAATTCAATCAATATTCTGAATAAAAATGCTAGTTATACAGTGTGATATTGTGAATTGCAGATTGTTATATTCATAAAAGTTCCAGTAGAAGAAAGAAAAGTTTGAAAAGATTCTTATTAATGTATTCGTTTTTGAGATATCTTAGAATTCTAAAGGCAAAAATGAATAAGAAGATACGAAAATTGATTAATCAGTTCGTAACTTATTAAGTTATAAGCAATTTATTAGATTGTTGTTTAGATAAAGCGAGACAAAGATAAATTTCATCCTATCTAGATGTAAATTGCTTATATAATATATTTTTTTAAAATTGCATGAATAAGAAAATTATGTTGAAATACCATTTTTATTTTTAAATTAAATCAGATTGACATATGAAGTTATAACGTTTTATTATATCTAATTATAAGATGTATTTTCTGCAATCATATGCAATCAGTTGAAAAGTATCTAAGTTTTTCATGAAATTATTTACATTATACATATAATCTATTAATTACAATTTGATTTGCTTAGATCTGTATGAAGTAATTTAAAAAAGCTAGTTATTCTTAAAAGATTATATAAAATATTTATTAAAATTTGAACAATTGATAACAGCTGGGCTTTAAAACTAGAGTTTAGAATAAGATCTGCAATTATTCTGCCCAAATTATTTGCATACTTAAAATATTAAAGTAGTGATATATAAATTAAAATATAATTATATTTGTTATTATGTAATATTAAAATACAATTCATGTGAAAGAAATTGAACATTAAGATAGCTTTAATTTAATAAGTCATTAAACAGAGAATTTTTATGCATAATAATGAAATTATACAACTTTCGAGATTCGATTATCGAGAAAATCATGAATCATATATTATTAAATATCATTGGCAACAAAATATACAAATTGAGAAAGAACGATTTTAAAGACGATTTTAAATTCAATCATATATGATACAATTTATTGATTTGTTGTATAATCACATAAAACCATACCATACAAGACGAAATATTAAAAAGAAAAAATGGAAGAGAAATACAATGTATTTATAATAATCAAATGCCTGGGAATGTTCCAGTTTGCAAATATGAATTTAATGAATTAGAAATTAATGAAGTGCATTGCACAAATAAGACTGCGATTAAATTAAAATAGAGCGTGATTTTCTGGCTGATTTATCATCATAAGTAAGTACAATAGACACAAAGAAAACTTCAAATTTTCTATATATTCCATACAAAATTAGTTAATTAATAGTTCTATCTCGATGTTGCTCATTATTGTCAATTATTTATCATTTTTTTTGGAAACTATTCAACTGTATATTTTTATCAGTTTATCAAAATAATTATTGTTTTCATTAACAGTGATTGATATCAGGATAAAAAGAAAAAAGGAAAAAGAAGAAAATGAAGAACTCTAGAGAAAGTTTCTGCCGATATATTAATTGAGAATTCGATTAATGGATTTCATTGTCAGATACAGATGGGCAGAGTTTATTTCCTGTGTCTTTCCCGGAAGAATATTTCGGAGATTTATGAGTGGCTTCCCTGAGACTTCTTTTATGTCACACTTATTATCGGGTTAATGGGATATTTTATCGGCCTTTCTCTTTTAACGCGTAAACTTAATTCCTTACGATCGTGAAAGATTGAAAATTGACGAGGACTCGTTTAATGTTTACGGGCATATCCTGACCTCGTGGAAATCATATTGTGGGAAAAAAGTATTGATCATTCAAGAAAATCTTCATACGTTTCAAATTTGTTAAATTGATCATAAAAAATAGTTATATTATCAAAAATAATAATAATTCTGTTTTATATATATGAAACATGAATGAATATATAGAGTATATATTTTTTGATAATGTTCTTAATCACATTTTAAAGTTTTTTGTGTTTCTTTTAATATGATAATATTCAATCTAGAATCAGATCTAATTTATTTTTCCTAATGATTATGCAAAAAAAATTATAAGTTTTTTCAGACTTATAATTTTCAAAATGATAAATATTGCTAAAGAGAAATAGTGTTTAACTTTAAGTATTTTTAATTGCCTTTCAAAATATTCAAATTGCTCTGATTAAAAAACATTGATATAGAATATAATGAATTATGTAGAATATTAATATATTCGTAAAATATTTTGAAGAATCGATTATAAAGAAATACAAAAGTTGATATACAAGAATCTCAATTAAGGCTTATAACTTTATAAATAAACTATAAAGAGTTTCTCTATACTAATTTTTGTTTTTATTTTTACAATCGATCCTTAAATTAAATAAATTTAATTTCGCATGAATATATTTGTACATGAAATAATCTTTTTATTAGCATATGCAAATTTATATTTGCTTAAATGAAATCTTTAAAGTTATTAGTTTTATGATTCTCTTAAATATATTCTTTTAATTTATAATGATAAAATAGAATAATTTATAATGATAAAGAATAAAATTTTTTATCATAAAATGTTCAAGTTTTAATGTTTTATTATAATATTGTGAAAAATATTCTCAAATGAAATTGTATTAAAAAATTAAAAAATGATAGAAATTTTAGAGAGTTGATTTCACGTATTTAAAAATATTTTCTGTTGAAAAATTAATTACTCTATGTATAATCGATTGTTCTTTACATATACACAAATTTTTGTTAAAATCAACATTATTTCTTCAAATTAGATTTCTTTACAAGATAATGTATGAAGATTTTTGTGATTGATTGTATATTGTTTTAATTTTATTTATATTATATTTATATTAATTTAATTTTCCTTATAAAATATTTGCAATCGATAAATTAATAATTAATTCATTTAATTTGTAATGATATAATATATAATGTAATGTATAATATATAATATAAATAGAAGTAACTGAAGAATACAATAGAGTTTCTCAATAAAAATCTATTTAGTTTTGTTTGTTTTGTAACGATATTATATCAAAAAGATATCGATCTCTCTAATTTGTACTATTATCAATAGATTCAATATTGACATTGATCCTAATTTTAATTATAATGATATTTTTTTGAATACTGAATATTTCCACCACGAGATTAGGAAAGAATAGGAATAAAACACAGTGATAGATGTGTAAAAAAAATAGAGATAATATTTAATTTTTCTCTAATTCTCTGATTCGAAATGGAGACAGGTTAATGTCGAGAGACTTAACATAATTGTCGCAGAAAATTCGCGAAATTTAAATCGTTTGGCTAGCTAAAGTAGTCATTTGCGGGAAGAAGGATTGAGCAAGTGTAACGTGCACTTGAGATGCTGCGGTTTTAGTTTAACGTTTTTGCATCTTGATTTTTCGACTAGATGCGGCATCTTAATAATAAGAATACTTGTTCATTATTTGAATTTCGTAATAAGCAACACGTTAAATAGTGACTAGAAATATTACACGATGTAATATTTCTTAACTGTGTTGATTTGTAAGATGAAATTCGATTATGTCAAGGCAAGTCTGTCTCACATTTTTTGCATATTTTTTCGTGGTTATAAAATCATATTCAAAGGCTTGTTAACTTTGCATTTACTTTTGTTTGAAAAAGAAACGTTTGAATTGTTTCGTTTTTTGCATTTAAAGAAAACAAACATCAGTCGTAATTTTGCTTTTGTATGGTTCACATAATCTTGTTTTTTTATAATTTATTCGTGAGAATCTTCGAAAAATCAATTCTAAAGAAAATTAAAATAAAAATTGCTACAAATATGTTTGTTTTCTTGACAATAATTCATCACGTGGATATTGCATTGAAAGTGAAACTCTTTGAAAATTTTTACCTATTTTTGTTAATGAGAAATAATTTTCGTATTCCAAAGCTGCAAATCTATTTGAGAGTAGAACTTTCATAGAATTATTTTCAAGAATTTTTAGGGATTAAAAGTTTATTGTCGTGAATAATCATTCTCAACATAGCATTCATTTTTAAAAAAAAAAACTCGTACAAACCTTTAACAAAACAAAAAGATACAATTAGAAAGAGTGAAAACAAGTTAGAAGTTTTGACAATTAGATATCTATTTCTATAACATGTTTTCTAAAACATGTTATCAGGAATGAAAATTTCATCCTGTCGCGCTCACACTTGAATCGTGCTAACGAGAAAAGATGAAAGAAGAAATGAGAAGATCGTTCATAGATGCGAGAGATCTTCTAGTGAAAACTAGCAG